CCCCTGCCTCCCTGATCCCCTTTAAACCAAGGAGAGGGCAGAGCTTCCCTGACAACCTCGTCCACCCTCCCGGGTGGGGTGCTTGGGGATGCCCTCAGCTGGGCATGGACAGTGAGGATCTGAAGAATCTGGACCATCCGCTCCTCCTCCTCTTCACTGTGGTGGGGCATCTCGGTCAGCACCATCTTCAGAAACGGGAAGACTAAGGAGAAGGCTGGCGCGGACAAGGGTGCAGCACCTGTGAGAGCACGGAGCAATAGGATGCTGCAGGCAGGGTGGGGACCTGGGCCACTGCTGCCCATTTCCATCCTCAGGGAAGGTCAGGAAGGGATGGGCCAGAGGCCTGTTCTGACACCTGGAAGCACATGGCACGCTGACAGAGACAGCAGCTGGTAGCCCAGTTCTAAAACTAACTCTGCTTCTACCGCCAAACACTGCCCAGTTCCAGGATGTGAGAGTTAAAACAGAGAAGACAACGCCAGTGACAAAAAGTAAACCCTCAACTGGGCTCACAGCAACTCACAGACTACCAGGGCTAAACTCAGAAATCCTCCATCTGGTCCAACCACCCAGGCTCAGGAGGCCCTGGGTGATGCTGCGGCTCGAGCAGCATTCCTGGGACCAGCTCACACCGCCTGGTGCCCTTGGTCCCGTCCCAGCTCTTACCTGGCTCCCCCTTGCCCACCCTGCTGGTGATGGTGTGGGTGTGCAGCAGCGTCACCGCCCTCTTCACAGCCACCGACAGCTCTTCTTGGCACCAGGACTTATCCAGGGCACACTCTGGCTTCAGCAGGCGCAGGGTCACATGGCTTACCAAAGTACCTGTGTTGAAGAGGAGAGAGCCGGCAGGGATGACACACACAGAGCTGCAGAATCCAGCCCAGGCTCAGACAGGGGACCCAGTGTCTCATCCTTCTGACTTAAAAAAATCTTTCTGCTCTGCCAAAATGTCCCCAACCTGATTTCTCACTTGATCTTTGTGACAGCCTCAGAGGGCAGCTAGGCAGGGAGTTGCCCTTTAGACACTCAAGGAATGAGTATGCTAACATGAGACAAGGGCCACCCAAGGGTCATTCAGCCGAGAGTGAAGCTCTATCAGTGCAGCGCCTTCAGCTCTATGCAACAGACAGCCATGTGACACTTCTGGCAGGTTCCAGATGCAACGACTGACTTTTCCACTCAGAACGGTTCCCAGATTCTAGCCTCACCCGTGGGAACATCCTCATTAGGCTGGGCTAGAAGTCTGCTGAAAGCCGTTAAATAACCCACAAAAGCAAGGCCACCATAATTCCCAGCCACCCTACCTGGTGTTTGTTTCTCCAGACCTAATAGGAAGCTAAAGGTCACAGAGGCCTCTCTTCACTGTCACGTGGCTACTCAGGAGCCCTGGGCTGTGCTGAGTCACCACACTGCACCAAACCATCCTCACTGCCACTGAACTTCTGACTTAGTTTTAAAACTGGTACACAAAAATCGAACACTGACTAGCATCTAAAACCTACTCCTCAGAGGGAGGGCACAGATGTGAAGTGGGAGAGAAGAGGAGGCACTATG